CCCCCCCCCCCGTGTCTGCGGCCGCGCCCAGCCGTCTTGTCGTGCTCTTGCTTAGTACTTTTTTTTAAAGTTGTTTATTAAACATGCTGTTAGTGCCCGTTCTTGACCATCACCTGTATCATTTCCTGTGGCCCCTTTACTGGCTTACGGTCACATTAAGCTACATTTTTAGCTCAATTGCTAGCTTGAATGTACCATGTAGTAAACTAATACATTGTGTATTACTCCATCTCTCAACATTAATGTTTCAACATGTTTTCGTGTTAATTTCTTGGTACATGTAANCGACATTTGGACACACTTTCATTACATAGAGGTGAAGTGAAGGTAGAGGTCAGTGAAGTATGTGAAGTTTTTGACAACACTGCTACATGTGACACACATCTGCCCCAATCAGGCATCGGAAATCCCATAATCACCATCTTCTTCTCATTTCTTGCAATAATGTTTCCGCCCGGTCTCGAACTGGGGAGTGTTAGGCGAACGTGATAACCACTACACTACAGACACTACACGTTATCATTTCGTTGAGAGACATAGACGAAAACCTGTTGAGCGATATTAGTAAATAATAAAGTATGGAATGTGCAGGATCGGCGAAATATATTGTTTCCGCCCGGTTTCGAACCGGGGACCTTTCGCGTGTGAGGCGAACGTGATAACCACTACACTACGAAAACTGTGATAGTCGGATCGATGACGTAATTTTTTTCAAATTCAATGAAAATGAGCGAACCATCTGCTTCTTAGTCGACTTCTGTACTGCTGTTTGCCTCAGAGCCGAGCTGCCTGTACCTGTCCCCTTCTGTTATTGTGCTCCACGGAAGAGGTAAGCGACGTCATTGTGTGTTAAGCTACATTTTTAGCTCAGTTGCTAGCTTGAATGTACCATGTAGTAAACTAATACATTGTGTATTACTCCATCTCTCAACATTAATGTTTCAACATGTTTTCGTGTCAATTTCTTGGTACATGTAATTAATTAAATTAGTCTTGTTGATGCTATACAAATCAAGTGTATTGTTGTTAAAACGTTAGTGAAGTTTTTTGCCCCAACGAGGCATCAGAAATCACATAATCCCCGTCTACTTCTCATTTCTTGCAATAATGTTTCCGCCCGGTCTCGAACCGGGGACCTTTCGCGTGTTAGGCGAACGTGATAACCACTACACTACGGAAACTGTTGTTTCACGAACATGACGTAATCGTTTTTAAATTATTTTCAAGACTCCTTTTTTAATATTTGTTGCACATACAAACTTGAGAAAACATGTCAAGCTTTGTAACGTTTGTTTAATTCCAAATAAACCTTTACAGAAACAGAGTTTGTAGTAGCTGCAATTTTATTTAATACACACACCAGGCAACACGTGCGTGTGGTTTTGGATGTAGAAATAGGGGCTGTGAGTCATTTGCTGCTGTCAGTGACAGTAATCTGAATGTCTAGTCATCTGCTTTCTCCAAAAATAAACACCTTCACTGAAAAAACATCGCACATACTGCAAATTCTTACATCTAGTATTTAATCAGCTCTTCAGTTACTTCAAAATCACTTATACTATATATATTATATAATACTTTCAAATAAAAATCCAATCCGTCACTCATCAGCATTGGTGATGTTTAATAGAAACACATAAATAAATCTAAATGCAAACAAAAAATCACATGCCTCCTGTCTGAGGAAGTATCACACATGGGTTTGTTTGTATTTCTTTTCATGATGTTTTTGTTCCTCCTTACATAAGTTTTAGGAAATTACAAGTTTAGCTGAAAGCCCCTCTGAAAGCCCACGAGTGACACAATAAATCAGTTGCTAGAGAGATGTAGAAAATAATGTATGTTTTCATGTCGGTCAGTGTGAACAGGCCGCATGAATTCATCCGGTTGATTCCCCTTTTGGTCAGTTGTGAAACCGCTCAGAGGGAAATTCTTCACTTGTAATATTTCTCCAGTTCTGACCATTTTATTTATTTATTTATTTATTTTTCGTTTATTTTCAGGAAGGAAAAAACATTAAGGAGAAATGCCACCCTGGAAAAAGCTGAACGCAGGTGAGGAAAAACAATCTGCAGGTTCATTATGACTTGTACACTGCACTCATCATTTTACACTGAGAAACACAAACACTTCTTCTTCTCTGACAATTCGTTGTCTCTATTTTCATTGTTTCCTCAATCGACTAATTGATTAGATCAGGGGTTTTCAACTGGTTTTGTCCGGGGACTTCCAGCGGCCCTGGGCAAAAAGGGGATTCATTTATTTTCACTATAATATCATCTATAAGTAAAAGAACGACAGAATGTTTTACTATTTTGGTTTCAAAAACTTTATTTGTATGATTATTATTATGGTTATTATTATAACAGTTGACAGTACTTCCTCTTTTCTTTTTCTCTGTAAATAAATGTAAAGAGGAACTAATTCTTGTGGCAGATTCATGGTACTGTACACACACACACACACACACACACACACAGAGAGAGAGAGGGAGAGAGAGAGTATATAAGCCTCTGGGCTGCTGCCTGTCACCTCAGTTGGACTCTGTCTGTCCTCTGTATCTCAGCATGGAGCAGATCTACGTCAGACATGTGGAGCTGCTGGGCTTTGAGAAACGAGAAGTCCCGAGTCAGCACTACGTAAGGCTCGAAGCACTCGCTCTGCAAATGGCTGCGTCAGCTTCAGATCCTCGTTACAGCTTCACAATGACCGAAGCTGAAGTCGAGGATCTGTTGCTGGGAAACGCTCGGTCTCACCCTGCTGCTCTGTCTCTGTGTGCAGGTCTACCTGCTGATGGTGAAATGGAGCGACCTCTCCGAGAAGCTCATCTACAGGACGTACCCTGAGATCCACACCTTCCACGTGAGTTCCTCTTCACTACAAAATAAAAGCTCTGCTCCTCCTGTGAAAGAAGTAAAACTAAACAAGTAAAACTAAAATAAAATGCAGCTTTTTTGTTTTGTTTTTATTTTGGTGACAGAAATCGTTGAAGGAGATGTTTCCCATCGAGTCTGGTCAAATAGAAAAGAGGGACAGGATCATTCCTTCATTACCAGGTAAAAAAGAAAACAGGTGGGATTTTATACATCCTGGTTCTGTTGGTTGTCATGCTGCTTAGTAAGTTAGTAAGTTAGTTGATCACAGACTGGTGTTAAAAAGACGATGCAGACATGAGTGACCTTTTTAAAGTCGGGTGAAACCGTGATCGTCCTGTCAGGTAAAGTTCCTCTGTGTGCTGTGATGCTCAGGAAACAGCTGTGTTTGTCAGACACACGTGGGCAGGTCTGCTTCTCGTTTCTCTGTCTGTTGAAGCGAACGGTCGAATCACTACGTCAAAGCTCAACTCACAACCAGAGATCTAACAAGTCACCACCAGAAACGACAAAATGAATTATCAACTAGTTTGATAATTGAGTAAAAAGTAAATTTTTAAGCTAAAATACAAAAAAAAAAAAATCAGATTATCAAATGTGATTATTTGCTATTTATAATAATATGATGGTAAACTCATTTTTGACTGTTGGTCAGATTAAAAAAAAAAAGATGTTGAATACAATTTTCTGACGTTTTATTCACTGAACAACCAATCGATTATTAAAGAAAACAGCTGTAAGATGCATTTGCTTGAACATTGAGTTTTCTTCCAGCTTCAGGTGAAACCATTTCTTCCTTTCATTTTTCAGTCAGCCAGGTGTCGTGAGTGTTTAGCAGGTCTGTGTTTTCCACCCGGTCGTTTTCTGTTCCTGTTCAGGACCTAGTTTTCATGAAAACAGAACTCAAACTTTACACATTTTCCTTATGAAACCTTCGTTACAAAACACATGTAGCAACACGGAGAAGGAGAAGCAGCGGCCAAACCTCAGAGCTGATGCAACAGCAGCGCTTGCCGACACACAGTTCGACATGTCCGTCTCCACACTGTCACATATGGACACTGGAAAAGAGCAACCACTGAGATCCTCAATAAATTAATCATTTAGCATGATTAGACAAATAAAAGACAAAAACAGCTTCCAAATAAGTGGATGCATTTGATTAAATGGAAGAAACCAGACGTTTAATGAGCATAACTTTACAAATTTCACAGTAAACCAAACAGTGTTTTGACAATATTCATACAAAGTGAATGAAAACAGTTGGAATATTGATCACTGATAACTTTGAACTGCAATTTAATTTTTCATATTTTAGCTACTGTGATATCGTTTGGATTCTGTTCATAAGATTTTTATATTTTTACTACAAGAGACTTTTAATGACGTTCATGAGAAAGAGAATCAGTTCAAGTCGTTGTGACTCAGCTCAGAGGGAGATGTAAAACTACACTGAGAAGATATCTTCTTATGGATCAACACTTCAAATAAAACACAGAAGGAGAGGAACATCTAATAACCTTATAATAATAATATAATAATCTTTCTCCTTTTTTTATCTTTGATGTCATGGAAAAAACTAAAACTTCTTGTTCACACAATTATTTTTAAAAAAGATTTGTGTTTTTCATTCATTTATTGTTCCTGACTGACTTATGTTTGATTTAATGAGCGTTCAAACATCAAATGATGCTCTATTACTCTACTGTGTGTCTTTTACCGTGATGTGTGTTCACGTTGACTTTGTGCGTCGTCAGCGCCGCGGTGGGTCGACAGCCAGAAGTCGACAGAGACGAGACAGAGCACCTTGGCCGACTACTGCCACTCGCTCATCAACCTGCCGCCTCACATCTCCCGCTGCAAACACCTCACCGCCTTCTTCAAGGTTCGACCTGAGGACGAAAACCCAGGAGCCACAAACACGTCAGTATCACACACACACACACACACACACACACACACACACACTTCCTCTACAGCTGCTGTGTTGAACTGGACAGGACGGAGTGATGCTGAGAAAATGTTCATTTCCTCCTCAGACTGAAAAAAAACAAGACATCTGTGGGGTCCAAGGAGTTGGCCCAAGGAAACGTGGCTGGTAAGAGACATTTAAAACTGGATTATCCCATTACACGGGATCATTTCCACTGGGAGCGAGGCGGACATTTTGAAAAAGTAAATGGTGACATTAAAAGAGATGATGATGTTTCACCTGTCAGAGATCTCGGGTCCCATCATACTGGACACCTACAGAGTGATTGCAGACTTCACCAAGACGTCCAAACACGAGATCAACCTGCACACCGACGACCTGGTGGAGATCGTGGAGAAAAATCAGAACGGTGAGAGAAGAGAGAAATGTTTAAACAACAACCTTATTTTAAAAGCTCCTCCAGTGTAAAGGTCTGTGTCCATGTGTAGTGTGATTATAGATCAGGTCTAGGTTCTATATTAATACTGTGAAAGTATCAAAGCCTCAGTCCACAGAGAAATGCACACAGCCTGTATTCAGAAACTGAGCCTTAAAACCAGCCGTCAGGACTTCTGGAACTTTGTGATGTCACAACAAAGCAGTCACCAAGCCCCGCCCACCTGGACCCACCATCCAAACCTTGCAGGATTTGGTTTCTCTGAGTGTTTTTACCTGAAATCTGCTATATTTTTATTGATCACTCAGAAAACAGTCAGCCAATCAGAAGAGAGGCTCAGAGCCTCCTCTCTTCTGATTGTCTCACCACTTCAAGTAAAATCAAATCAACTTCCAATTCAAGCTAACCATGGTGTGGAGTTTTTACAGACTCTTCCTGCTGTAGTTTAGCAGGTAGAGCAGATTCACCATCACAGGGTCAGAGGTTTGATCCCCAGCTCCTCCTGTCAAACATGTTGAAGTGTCTTTGAGCAAAACATTAATCTAAAGCCAGCACTAAAGATAATCATCTTAATATCTATCTATCTGCTAATCTTCTGTCCCTGATCTCCTTTCACCTTGTCTGATGTAGTTTTAGTATTTACTTGCACTGGAGCTTTATTGTTGTCCTGGTTTTGAGCCGCTGTGGTCCTGGTCTCGTGTTCAGGTTGGTGGTTCTGCCAGTGCGAGTCTAAACGAGGCTGGGTTCCCGCGTCCTACCTGGAGCCTCTGGACAAACCGGAGGAGCCCGAGGACGCTGAGCCAGACTACGAAGGTAAGATAGTGTCGTGTTGTGTTCTTAATCAGTCTCAGGTCAGTCCTTCCTCTGTGTGTGTGTTTATAACAGCGCTCTCTGTTTCCCTGCAGGAGAGCTGTATGTCACCGCCAACGCCTACAAGGCCGAGCAGGAGGACGAGATCTCTCTGGAGCTGGGTGAAACCATCGAGGTCATTCACAAGCTGCTGGACGGCTGGTGGGTCGTCAGGTATGATGACACACACACACACACGCACACACGTGCACACACACACACACACACACACACACACTTTCTCCTTTGTTGACTCCTACTGGACGTTTCTAGTTGTTGCTCATAAGTTTTCAGAATAAATAAAGATCTGTAGAGCTGTGGCAGCGCAGTCATTCGCCCCAACACATATCTGTTTATTTGTATATGAAGCAGGAAGTGAAATCTGATCACAAGTGGTTTTTAAAGCCAGGTGTGAACTGACGTACCAGGTGACGTGAAATGATCGTCACAGACTTTAGGATTCATCCTCTGGAGACCATGAATGTTTGAACCAAATCCAGTTGATTCTTGTCAAGATCTTTGACTCTGGATCAAAGTGTTGGACACTGACATCTGTAAATCCACATTACTGAAGTTCATGAGAATTAATTCCTGCATTTGCACCTTTTTACATGTTCTACTCGGTACCTACAAGTTCCTGTGAATATTTACAATTAATTTGAACTTCTTGTTGATGCTGCTTTGTGCAGGAAAGGAGAAGAAACCGGTCATTTCCCCTCCATGTACCTGCAGAAGGCCGGGAAGAAAGAGAGGGAGGCGGGCAGGACGAACCTGCAGGGACAGAAACCTCCGCCTCGCAGGTTCGTCAGAGACAGTGGATTCATATGTTTCTGTCACACACTTTACAGCTGCAAATATATGATTTACAGCCCAATTTTACATCTATAATAATCTAAAGGAGATAGATTACCACTTTAAATGTGATTTTAAACGAATTAAAATAAATTACACGTACATACTAGTCCGGTTAGAACTGTTCAGGAGAACTAAATCCTGTAGAGCAGTTTTGAGAGAGGACGTTTTTTGTGAATTGTTAACTGTAATGAGCGAACACGGGGAGACTCAGAGATGTGCAGGTTTGCACGTAGTTCCTCTGTTGCCACTCCGGTGTTTTATTGTGTCACTGCAGATGAAGAGGAAGTGTGTTGTCATGCACTCTCTCACTCTGTTACACCACAGTTTGTGATTTCATGTCTCTTTGCTGCAACTGAAACACAATAGAATTAAATTATATCTGCAGTTTTATAAACATGCTGGGTTTAATTAGAACGAAAGCACAAGTGTTTATTATGTATTAAACGCCGTCTTTCTACCAAATGAGTTTCCAGTATTAATTTGAATCCGTTTCACAGGAGTCAGACAGTTTTTAGTTTAAACTAATGTAAATAACACAGTTAATCCTGCTGTTGTTGTAATGAGCTTCTCTTGCATTCATGTACGATTTTATTTCCAGAGCAGGAAGTCACTCCTAGCCGGACAAACTTTCTCAGAGTGAGGAAATGTCTGTCCTAGTTTAAGGACAAGGAGTTTCATCATCTTCAGTAACTTAGTGAATGAATCTGGTGACCTTTGATCTTTAGCCACCAAAGTCTAATCAGTTCATCTTTGAGTCCAAGTGAAGGTTTTTGCCAAATTTGAAGAAATTCCTTCAAGGTGTTTCTGAGATATTGTGTCCACGAGAATGGGACGGACGTATAGACAACCTGAAAACAACATGGCTGCTGCTCTCGCCGGTGTGGAGGAATATAAATTAAATAGTTCAGACTGATGAAAACACATGGTTCATAGAGACAGGGACAATTCAGGAAGCAGTGAAGATTTGGGTCTGTCTCTGCAACAATAGATCAAACTTTTACTGGCCACCACCTCGACAGCTCTGTGTGTCCTTCTTCCGTCTTAGATCCACCATCAGGAACGCCAAGAGTATCCACAACAGGTCTCGCCGGCGGCTCAGCCAGGATGTCTACCGCAGGAACAGCCGTCGGTACCTGGAGCAGAAGGGCGGCCGCCTCGCTCAGGCGCAAAGGGACTCCAAGAACGCTGCAAAGTCACCGCTGAGGGAGAGGAAGAACCAGGGTAACGAAAACCTGCCGTAACATATTCTCATATTCACATTTAGTTTGATCAAACGAAGTTTAAAGGGTAGACGTACAACCTGATCGTTTTATTTCTAACCCGCAGACAACATCCCCGAGATGTCCGGCTCCAGCTCGGAGAGCGAGGTGAAGAGGGAGGCTCCGGTCATCCCTCCGCGGCCGAGCGCAGAGCTCATCCTGGAACGCTGCACCGACAACACCCGCAAGAAAGTCAGCATCCACAAGTCACGCTCCAGCTCCGACAGCTAGCCCGGCATATTCGACGCACCTCGTAAAGTCGCAGCCTTCTGAGAGCTTTAATACAGGAAATAAAACAAGGCTGATATTATTCTATATTTTACTTATTATTATCAAATCTCATAAAAAGACCAAAACCAGTAATGTGTTAGTCTGTCTCTGGACACCTCCGTATCCTCTGTGGACAGACAAAACAAGAAACTAGAGCAGTAGTTTGGGGACTATTTTGAGCGGCGGATTAATCCACATTTGGAGCTGTAGTGAGTATTTGTGGCAGCAGGACTGTGTGTGTGTGTGTGCGTGCGTGCGTGCGTGCGTGTGTGGGGGACTGACTCAAAATAAACTACAGTGTGTTCATGGTGATAGTGTGACTCACTGATGTGTTTTTAATGGTTTCTGGACAAAGATGGATAAGAGGAATCAGACACATCCGGCTTGGTTAACTAACCTAAATAACACTTGAGATAACTAATAATTTAATGCCGAAATCTTCAATAAAATTTGAATTAATCTGAAAACAACACATTGCTTACAGAAATGTGAGTTAGTTACAGTTTCCTGTGTTTTACTCTGGACTTGTTTTGCTTTGTTCTGATGCGTTGAGCGCTACTTTGCTGTTACAGTAGCTGCTACTGTCCACATTCACATTCGCACTGTGAGAAAAAGAAGCTACCAGAAAGAGAGGAAATAGATGTACTGAAAAAAAAAAAAATCTAGATTTTCTGTTTATGACTTCTGTGTGGAAGATTTATTTCCAAGAGCTTTGTTTTTATTTATTTGCTTGAATGTATTCATTAATAAAACAAAATGTTAAGCTTTTCAATCTGAATTATTTAATTAATTAATGTTTCTAGGGCGGTAACATTATAGATGAGTCTGCCGATTAGTATCTCGATTAACCAAGAAATTAATTGATGAACAGGTTAGTCTATTAAATGACAGAAAAAAAATTAAGGAATTAAAGGAAGAGAAAGACAAAATGAAAAAAAAAAAAAAAAATAGTTGCTGATTAATTTTCCGTGGGTCAATTCACCTTTAAATGTTCCATTGAATTACTCTCAAGCTATTAGCAGTGTCTCCTCTTCCTCTGAAAGGATTATATTAAAGATTTCAGTTTAAAAAATAACTGACTTTTACTAGTTAAAATGACTTAGACTCTTCTGGCCTTCCTGGCTGCCGTAGATGTGACCAGAGCATTTACCTGAACAGTGGAAAAAAGGTTTCCAGGTTTTGTGGGACAAACGACAGAAGTAGGTTACAGAGAATATGGGTCTGTGCATCTACGGCATCCACGTCAACAAACCTGCAGCGCAATTAGAAATGAGGCTGAGGACAAAAAGTTGATTTTAACATCAGACCAGTTGCAGTTCTCACCTCTGATTGGCTGTTTGCAAAATGCCAAAACACAAATAATCTTTTTTACATATATCTATATGATTTCTGCCTCCACCCCAGGACTGCAATTAGTGACTATTTTTGTTATTGATAAATGAATTTATTGTTTTTTCAATAGAGCCCAAGTTGAGGTATTTAAATGTGTTATTTTGTCAAACAAAAGTTTTAACTTAACTTATAATTGGCAAACATTTGCTAGTTCCAGCTTCTTAAAATGTATGCATCTTTGTCATATGTGACAATAAACTGAATATCTTTCTTTTTTTTTGGTATTTTTTGACATTTTATAGTCTAATTGAGAAAATAATCACCAGATTAATCAATAATGAAAATAATCATTAGTTGCAGCCTCAAAACAAATAAATTATGAATTAGTTACAAATAATTCTATAGGCATTTTGAAATAATTATATTTATATATTTCCAATCAATTGCCAACATTTACGTATTTATTATGATGTATATATGCATTTAATGATAAACAATGTTATCAAAAAGACAATAAAAATGTTTGACCCCGACGTGATTTGAACACGCAACCTTCTGATCTGGAGTCAGACGCGCTACCGTTGCGCCACGAGGTCCTGTATATAGCTTTCGAAAGTATCTCTATATGAATATAAAGGACTTTCAACAGAAATATCGTTTACGTTGGTTTACTATTATGTTTTATAGATATCTGCGGTAAAACAATTACTAGTGATCACAATATCACAAGAGTAAATAGGGTAAAATCCACACAGGCTAATGCTAATAAATATCGCGGGCACAGAAGAAGTATGGAGACTCACGCGGCAACACCGTTGCCCGCAGCAACTGTGACAAGAGTTACCAATAGTTGAAGGTTATTGACGTTAACTAATCAGCTAACTAACTTCAGGACTGAGTAACCGTGTTTCCGGTAGCTGTAGATTATTAACGTTAGCTAGTCAGTTAATAAACTTTACTTCAGGACACAGTAACCGAGTGACTGGTAGTTGTAGGAGATAAACGTTAGCTAGTCAGCTAACTAGCTTAATGACAAAGTAACTGAGTTTCCCGCTTCTGAGACGAATGGAGGAAGTCGGCGTGGTGTGTACCATGTACCACATACCCGCTGAGGTAAGGCTAATCGATTTATTTGCATTTGTAGATACACGCTTCACAATCAGGCAACACTGATCAGGTTCGATGCCAAGATATATTTCATTATGTCGAATTCTCGTGTAACTCTCCCTGGTGGTCTAGTGGTTAGGATTCGGCGCTCTCACCGCCGCGGCCCGGGTTCGATTCCCGGTCAGGGAACTAGTTTTTTCCCTGACGAATACACTCAACTTCCGCTCTCTTTTTTTTTGCTTTGTTTTTGGCTCCATTCTGAGTAAAAACTCTAGGGACTTCTGTGTGAAAGTCCCGGGAGATTTACAGTTTCATAAATAGTCATGTCAGCTCTGTTGGCCAAGTATAATATGTTTCTTGCAGTTCTCAAAAAAAAAACCAACAATCCAGAACCAACAAAAATGTCCAGGGAGATATAAATGTACCCCCAGCAAAAACAAGGACTAAAAAGCTGAGTAAAGATAAAAATACAAACATATGATTATTATTTAGAGGCCAGTAGGTCAAAAAGAATTATTAAAAATTAAAAACATATGGCTATTATGTACACACAAGTAAGAAGCATACACGTAGCTACAATAATGGACTGTGTGTATATACAAGTCAAAGACTTCCTGAAGTTGAGAGCAAGGAAGCAAGTGGTGCAAGATATGGAAGAGTGCAAGGATTGCTGCAATAAATAATAAATGGGTATGTGTTATAAATTAATTTAAATACATACAGTAGGTAACAGAGCATTGCCATTTGAAGAAAGGCTACACAATAAATTAATAAATAGGCCTACATTTATTTACATTATATTTACGTTTCTGTACATTTACATGTATTTATTTCTGTTTACCATACCCTTTATATTATACAGTAGAACACAATACAGAGTCAGTGCTCGATTTAATCATAAGCCTAATAAGGAAAACATGAAAAGGCCGTGTTTTACATACAGTACAGACAGTGCACATAACCACAGATACCGTGTCATTTTTTAATTAAAATATCAGTAATATTACAGTAGTTCTACTGCAGTAACAGTGATTATGACATTAAACAAAGTCATTAAACGAGGACAGGGTGGTGGTTAAAGTAAAGGTGCCCTCTGTTCTATGTTTGTCTTGTGCATCTTCATCTTCCCTCCTTCTCTGCAGAGAGATTGCGTGTCTTGGATGCTGCAGAGAGATTGGTGAAGGTAAACACATTTAAGCAGGATACAGTTCTGTTGATTATCCTGTTCCTTCAAAATAAAATATAATAGAGTGGCTATTTTCTGCAGCGCAATGACAAAGACAGAATTTGTTTTTGGCTGAACCGCAACAGCTGGACCAGACCTATAATCGCCAGCGTCCATGACTGACTGAGTGAGTGATAAGAGTTGAGTGATCAAGTTACACCATTGGTTAGTTCAATGTCACGAGACTGAGTCATGAAGTCACAGTCTTTGTCTTTAACTGATATGTTCGGTGATGTTGTCCGGCGACGTCGTGGTTATAAAAACAGGTGGTGACTGCGAGTTAACATGTAGTCTTAATGGGCTGCGTCTCACTCACTGTTTCAGACTCGTTCCGTTGTCATGACAACAGAAACAGAAAAAGATGTCATTGAGAACAGCTTTACTGTGAATTCGACTGTATTACAATACTGTATATGTGATACTAGGATCATATACTTGGGTTTGGCCTAGCTTGTACAAACAAGAAAACGCAATGAATCACTACACCTTAACCAATCACAGCTCTTATTTTGAAAGCGTCGCCGGAAACGCTTTTCCCTCATTGCCGCTAACTTTAACCGCCGTCGCTGCAGCCGTTGAGAGGAGGACTCGCAGCTCCTGCCCGCACTTCTCCAAATGCCACCGGACACCGACAGCGGCCTCGGACTGGACGGACGGATAGACAGCAGTACCGCGACGCACGGGACTCACCGGGAACATGGCGGCGGGAACAACAACCTGCATGGTACCGTAGCGACGATATATCCGAGGCTGGTGGGCTGGTAACGGAGGAGCATCACTTCACACAGGTCAGCGAATAACAGCGTAACACCGGAGATAAGCTAAAGAGAGATAAAACAGATTAACATATCTATCTATTATCTATCTATATATCGATCGATCTATCTATCTATTTATCTATCTATCATGTTGTAATGATCCTGTGGTGAGTTGATGGCCTTTCTATGACATATCCACAGTGTCTCATCTGTGCAGCCTACTTATATATTACATTCATTAAATGCTGTCATTCACTAACTATTATATATAGTCTGCCATATATACAATTATGAATACTGGCATAAAATACAGAATTGATTTAGTACCACTTCCTGATGAAGCACCAAGGCTTTATAAGCAGTAACTAAAGGCTTTATTAATGGGTAATGAATCATTTACTAATGTTTTATATATCAGTTATAAGCCATTAATAAGAACAACCTTTGGGTTGCCAGGTTCTGGAGACACTTTGTCTCTTTATTTCTTTAATTAATTAGTGCGATGTCCCCAGGAGACTGTTTGACTGCTGAGCTTCCTGTTGTGGGACATCCAGACCAAATCAGTTGGTAACATTTACATGTGCAGACTCATCATATAACTATTTATTAACTTATACATAGAGTTAGGGCTTCAACTATGGATTATGTTCATTTTGTGCAAAAAAAAAAAAAAAGGTCAGAAAATAGTGAAAAATGTTTCCGAGTCCAGTGTGACACCTTCACATGTTGTGTTTTCTCCAACCAGCAGCTTCAAACCCAAAGATTAAATTTTACTATCATAGAGGACTAAAAAAATCAGATGATCGTGACGGTTTAGAAACTGGAAACATGAAATATTTGGGTTTTTTTTATTTAAAGCTCCATATTTTCCTCTTCTTCTGTGTTTTATTTGAAGTGTTGATCCATTAGAAGATATATTTGTGGTTTCAAGAACCAAAAACCATCTCAGTGTAGTTTTACATCTCCTCTCAGGCTTCTCTCTGGAGCTCTAGTAACAACAGGTCAGTCAGCCAATCAGAAGAGAGGAGGCTCTGAGTCTCTCTTCTGATTGGCTGACTGTTTTCTGAGTGATCCAATAAAAATAAAGCAGATTTCAAGTAAAAACACTCAGAGAAACCAAATCCTGCAAGGTTTGGATGGTGGGTCCATGTGGGCGGGGCTTGGTGACTGATTTGTTGTGACATCACAAAGTTTCATAAGTGCTAACGGCTACTGCTTTATAATCAAATAACACATGGACATCTACCTTTATACGAAATGGGACTTTTAAACAATTATTGAAATAGTTGTCAGTACATTTTCTGCCAATTGATGAATCATTTCAACTCCACTTTTACTTGGTAGGTTATTTATTATATCTTTTATGCAAAAATCTTTGTATTATGTAAAGTAACTGAAGCTGTCAGATAAATTTAGTGAAATAAAAATATAAAATTGAAAAGAAAATACTCAGTACAAGGACCTGAGAATTGTACTGAGATACAGTGCGTTAGTAAATGTACTTATTGTTAGTGATAGAACCAAAGTTTCTGTTTTTGGTTTTAGAAAAACTGATATTAGCTAACTACAGTTTCTATGTAATGGACAAAATTCAGAGATGGTCCATTGCTTTAAATATCTCAGTGTCCTAATTAAATGTCATGGCTCATTTAAGATTTCCATTTAGCCTCCAGAGCTGTGTTTGTCCATGTAGAGAAATACTTTACATCCACGTGTAGATTTTAAGTCAGATCTTTTTGATGTGTTAGTCACAACAGTTGGAGGTTTGAAGAGTTGATAGATTGGAAAAGCTGCACCTGAAATTTCTGAGCTGAAAGTTAAAATGACAACCTGTGATTATCTGGCCTGTGGGGGAGCTGAGCAGATCACAACTCTGTATTGCGAGAATGACTCATTGTACAACAAATCTGCAAAATTACACAGTTTCCTGTCAACACTGAAAACAAGAGGGAAAATAGAAGAAAACACAGGCTTTTGTTAAAGTGCCATCAGATTAATGTAAAGAGCTGCGTGTCTGAAACAGGCTGAAAAGAAAACAAGGAAATAGGGCTCAAACTAATGATTATTTTCATCACGAAAAAAAAAAATGCATCTGATTCTGACATTTAAGAAGCTGTTTTGTCATTTTTGCTTGGAAATGCAAAAATAATAATCGATTATGAAAACAATTGCTGATTAATTCTGAGTTGGTTTGCTGCTGGTAGATGAGAAGCATCAGAGGGAACAGTGCAGACGATGAAGATGCATGGACAGTGACTGCAGCTCTGTTCTTGTTGTTTGCAATATAAAAACATTGGTCACGTCAGATGCTAATAAACTAGAATGATTTTTAAATTATACACATTTCTCCAGGTAACAGATATATTTCACCTCCGGTTCTGTTCTGCAGCTCCTCTTTTTAAATGCAAGAACATTTTTAAGTCGTACGACATCTGGTAATCAGCTTTTATTCTTAAGTTGGTGAGGAGGAGTTCAAGGGAAGGATTTACAAAATATCACTTTTGGCAGTTTGATAAATGAGCTCATGAGTTTTAATCTGTGTGTGTGTGTGTGTGTGTGTGTGTGTGTCATCATTGGTTCATATTTTCTAACAGTGTGTATATATATCTCCGTCCACAGAGGCGATGAGGGGAAACCTGAAGGCAGCAGCCCGTTTCTAAGCAACAACAACAGCAACACAGCGTGCGGTACCACACACCATGGGCTACAAGGTAACATCATCACCGAACACCAGCAGCAAACTACACGGCAAACATCAGAGTCCGGGGTGTAAAGTAAAAATCCACTCAGGTGGTTTCTCTCCTCAGAAGTGTGTGTGAATCTCCTGATGATTCACAGCCTCGACAGTAGTAACAGCTAATGACGGTGCATGATTCATTCACCGCACTGTGACTTATGCAGGTTTATCTACACTCTGATGCTTCAAAACATCTGGGAGACTTTTTGTTCATGACGTAAGGATTATTCACATTATCAGTAACAGCTCATTGCACAAATCTTAAACCTAGGTACAGAAGAAGAAAACGAGACTATGGAGAACGAGAGAAACAGCTGGACATTGTAGAGGAAAGGGAAATAAATGATAGTTTTAAGAACAAGGTTCTTTCTGCACAACAGGAGTGAAAAGGGAAGAGCAGCCACTTTTACAGTCATATTACTGACCACAGACCTTATCATTACTGTGTAATATAAATCCAGTTTCAGATAGTGCCAATCATTCACAAACGTTATTGTGATCAGTTTATAGTTGTGCCTTTAGTACAGCTGGGATATATCTACACAGTCTGCAGCTCCTCAAAAGAAAACAATAAATATTAAGTTCAGTTCCCTCAAAACAGGCCTTAATATTTTAGATCAAAAATCAAAAATAACAAATTAATTAACTAAACTTTTAACGGGTTAATCCAGTCCAGGCCCTAAGCCCCTCCCATACAGGGGAGGGGCTGAAAAAAAACAATTCAGAAGACACTGTTTGGACAGTGACAGTATAAACAGTCACTTCATCCACAGGCTGATGCAGGCGTGTAGCTCCCGATAATAGATTAATTGTATCACTAGCTATTTTATATACTGTAAACAGCTGGGAAGTACCAACACTAACTGTGATATTTAGAATAAATTCATAAACTTCATAAATCATTGAGGCTTTATTGTTGGTTTTCTGTCTTTGATCAGAACAAGAAAAAAGATTAAAATCTCTTTAAAAGTCTTTAATCTGGAGAAAATGGCAGGAACTCTGTTATGTCTTTGGAATCAGGACAAGTCAAGAAATGGGAGAAACAAACAAACCTTTGTCACGTGCACAGTTATGGAAGGTTTGTACAGTTAAACGATAACATAATGAAAACATGATACTATAACACATGTAGGTGGATAAAACAGGGCTAATCTAATGAGAAATTATAATTTTAATTCAACTGAATAATCTCTGTGGGCTGTAATATAATGTGTGGCTTTTCACTCTTTAATCACACAATAAGAAAAAGGTTGTTAACACAATTTTTATAACTTCATGTTGGTCTCCCAGCACTGTACCCAGATCAGATCAGTCAATGAAACTCGGTTCACATATTCATGATCCCCAGAGGTTGAATCCTAATGACCAGCAGGTCAAAATTTGAACTGATCCAGTGAAATATGTCTGAACAGAGATTTAACTTGATTTTGATTCATGGGTAATTTCCCCTGTGTTTGTGTTTTTCTATTTCTGTGCTTGTTCCGTCTTTTCGTACCTACTGTGCTTGACCTGTTTCTTCTTCTGCTGATAAGTGTTATCTTGTGATCTTACATCTACCACACACACATGCTAGATTGTTGTGTATGTGTCAAACCACAGAGCATGGTTCTGGGTTTATTATTCTTCTGCGACGGCGGCAGTCAGAGCAGCAGCCATATTGTTTTCAGGTTTGTCCGTCCGTCTGTCTCATTCTCATGGACATGATATCTCAGCAACACCTCACCTCACAAACACTCACTAGGACTAAAGGATGAACTGATTCGATTTTGATTGGCAAAGGTCAAAGGTCAAGGTCACGGTAACCTTATCAAAACACGTTTTAGCCAAAATTCAAGACTTCACAGCAATTATGACAAAATTTCACACAAATGGTTCATATTTTCTCTGACTCTGGATAAACAGAGAAGTAACCTGAAACTAGTCTGAGTGGAGGAGCGATACAACAACTAATTCTATTTTTTCCTGTTTTCATTCAGTCATGATTTATAAATTTGTGCCGTAAAAGAGAGAAGAAGACATTCAGCTGGGTGTGTGCTCTGACGGGCCGAGGCAGAAATGTCTCGCTGCACCCGACAGCAGCCAACCAATCAACCTCTCTGTGGTTTGATTCAGAGCTTTGCTGCTGCTGACACATACATAACCATCTAACTCCCTCTCACTCTGCACGGCCAGATTAACACACACACACACACACACACACACACACACACACACACACACTGCAGAGACACACACTCCTACCTTTTAATCTTGAGTAGTTTATGGCTCCATAAGTCCATGCATAACACTCTCTCTCACACACACACACCTCTGGCTGCCCGTGCGTTCGTGTGTGTGTGTGTGTGTGTGTGTGTGTGTGTGTGTGTGTGTGTGTGTGAAGGCAGGGGATTTAGGGTGACATCTTTAAGCAGATATCAGGCGACAACACCATCTGTCTGAAGCTCTGCAGCCTGCGGCACCGCAGTGATGCAAGCGTTACAGTCATCCATTCATTCATTCATTCACCCATTCATTTATTCATTCAGAGGAGAAGGAGGAGGAGCTGCCGGGCGCCACATCCTCCAGCGGTCTCGTCAGAGGTCCACAGCTGTAAATTCAGCCACATTTTGCAGGTGATTCACCTCTAATGTGCTGATTCTGATTCAAACCTGCAGACCTCAAGTATTTTGCTCACATTTAGCTGCTGGAGATGAAGAGAGGCTGTCTGCAGCTTCCTGCCACCACAGATCCATACTGATGATCAGCTTTTTACACCTTTTATAAGATATACTTTAGGACACAATAAAAAATATTAACGGATATTAAAGGGTATTAAACATTATTGTTACATGAGGCAAAGAAAAGCAGAATAGAATAAAATTAAATAATTGCTCATTAATTTTCTGTCGTAGCAAAATACAAATTCAATTTCAACAGTTTCAGATTTATTCTGACATACCTAAGGATGGGTACCGGAACTTGTTATTAAACAGGCCCTGGGGCTAAATATTTAATGATCGTAGTATTGATAAGCTCCGTTATCTGTTCTTTTCTCGGTACAGGAGAAATGAAGAAAATAGATTTCCTGTTTGTTATTGAGACATAAAAGTTCTCTCAAGCATTTTATCTCAGCAGCTCTGTTTCTGATTAAGACATTTATCTACAGTGGATTTTTGCCGTTCCCAATCCAGAAGAGAGACCTCACTCTCTGAAATGGAGCATCATCTGAACTGTTCAGAAATTCAGTTTCAGGTTCAGATCACTCAGAGCAGGGAGGGGGGTGGGATTTAGTGATGTGGGGGCTGAAACAGACCTGAACAGCAAAGAAACAGTCCTATAGTAAATCATTGGGTATTACATTTGTCTTACATTTCCATCATTACAAAATCAGTCTGTAACAGTGATCTGTTTGAAACTTATAATAATTGAATACATATGAGAAAATGAATCAATGGTATTTCTGTTCTTAATTTGTTTTTGTTTTTTTCTCTTACAAAATAACAAAAAGTATCAACAAAAGTCCTGTTAAAGGATCAATAAGAGTACTGTGAAAGCACTGGATCGATAACGGCACCGTTAAAGTACCGGACCGATAAGAGCACTGTTAAAATACTGGATCGATAACTTGTATCTATAAATATCTATTCGCTAATATCTTATCGATACCCATCCTTAGACGTACCTGACATCTTGGTCACTTAACTGTGATGCAATAATAAATCCTATAAAGAAGCTCTCAAGGTTCTGGATTGGCTCCAGGCGGTCCACCTGGGACCCGCCCCTCCAGGTAGAGTAAGTTAGCCCCCAGGTTTATCAGTTTCCTGGTCGACCCTGCGGCTTTCCGCCTGCACTTTCCCCAGACTATGAGGATCCGTTCCACCTTTCATGTTTCCAAGGTGAAGCCTGTCAGAGACGTTAGAGTCAGAGTGAAATACAATATATAATATTTATTATGTTTGATAAACGCCAACGGGCAACAGTGTTTATAAACTGCAGCTCAACACGGATCAATGTGTACATGCACCAAATGAAACTGGAGCTTCCCAGCAACAGCCTCTGTGGAGACCAGTCCACACTGTATTAACATCACATAACACCATTTTAAAACAAGTCAATGATCATGTACTCCCTCAGTCAAGGTTGAGTTACAACTCTGGACAACCACAGGATGCATTGACATTGACTATTGATTTAATATTGAATTTAAAATGTTGAGCTGGGCATCCTGGGACGTTTGGATGCACATCCCTGGTTAAATGATAACCACCATGTTACCACAGTGTAAATAGTGGGCGAGCCTGTTTGAATGGGGCTGATGCAGCTGATGAAATGAATCATAAAGCTGCAGCCACAGAATCCATGATAGCATTGGTATAAAATCTTATCAGTGCCCATCCCTTCCTGTATTCCCGCCAGTTTTCTGTGCCAAGTCCTCTGTGCCAAGTCCTCTGTGGCTGGCAGATAATTAAACTAATGCTGGTTTGACTTGTAAGCCACCACAAGTCATTCAAACGATCCAGTTGTTCCTGTGTCTAGTTGAGCATTCCTCGGGTACGACTGACGGACATCTATCCCAGGGTGACACAGGCCTGGTGACAGACGTCCACCCAACGGTTCAAAGGTCAGAGATTGAATTAAATGTGTGATTTTGTTGATTAAAGAGGGAGTGGGAGGATGGGAGGAAACTGCTTCTTCCTCCAATTGAATTGAAGTGGAAACAGCTGTTTCCTCCAGCAGTCTTTATTTTCTGAGATGAATCGCTGAAATCTTTTCCGTCTATTCTGTCGCTTTGTTTTATTTCAGCTACCAGTACAAATGGTGCATTGACAGACTGACCTGGTCTCAGAGGATCCAGTTCGATAATCTCAACAAAGAAAGCCACTGAACTTTTTTTTCTATGTCACATTCCTGAAAACAGAACAGCCACTGAAAACTGTGGCACATCCGTTCATGAATCCTCTTGACTTCGGTGATTCGATATCTCAGGAACTCCTCAAGCGAACAACTTAAAATTTGGTGTCAATGTCCACTTGGACTCATGGATGAACTGATTAGAATTTGGTGGTCAAAGGTCAAAGGTCAGGGTCACTGTGACCTCACTAAACACGTTGTTGACCTCTTGAATGTGATATCTCAAGACGGCCCTGATGGAAGTTCTTCAGATTTGGCCGAAACAGTCACTTGGACTCGAGGATGAACTGGTTAGAATTTGGTGGTCAAAGGTCAAAGGTCAAGGTCATAGAACAGAAAGGGAGGTTGTAACTATATTTACTGCAACTTGACTGGTAGGTATGTTTGGTAGTTAATGTTATATAGCACCTGTTTGAAGTACCTGCCTGATGGGAGGAGCTTAGACTGATGGTGTATTATGTCTTCTATGTTTAAAAAAGAGAAATCCAGTATCTGGATCAGGCTTTAGTTGCCACTGTGGCTCTTGATGGAAAGATAGTTTAAATCAAACTGCTGTTGTTGGTCATGTAGCACAGTGTGCAGCTGGCTGCTGTATATTCTGCCTCTGGCTCTGCACAAACCAGCTGCTGAGTGTAAAGGAATAACACAACAGGAACATATTGATTGTATAAGTTCTCTGCACTCGAATGCAGCAAAATGGGCAGTCGTGTATGTTTGTGTTCTATAGGGTCGGATATGGATCAGATTGATTCCTGTTGTCTACTCCATGTTGTGTCACAGCAGCAAGAGCTCCATAAACTCAGCACAGGATCTATGGTTGGTTAATGTTCAGCTTTATCCAGCTTATCTTGTCTTGCTGCTTCCTCCGACTCCTCCTGGGGGATCCCAAGGTGTTGCCAGGCCAGATGTGGCACAAACAGGCAGCCAGCGGAGCTCAGAAAGATGGAAGTGCACGACTCCGCGTTTGAGAATATTTTTGAGGAATGTCAAGAACGTTGTGTTGAAAGCAGGAATCACATCAAACCGATTTATGGACATTCATTCACAAAGGACGGAGTAATCACGCTGAATCTAAAAATGTGTGTTTCGTGCACGTGAGTTTATATTTGTCGGAGGTATGACTCAAAGAAGTCGTACATTTTTGACACAAATTGTTTCAGGCACCAACAGTCAACACCCAAACTACCACTGTGTTGTTTTTAGATCACCTCGTTGCACCTGTCCCTCTCACCTGACGCAGCATCAACAAGACAGAACTTAAACCCTCAGAACAACCTTTATGTATTTAGCTCCATAACCGTTAAGGCTCTAAGATAAATAAATCATTATTAATATTCTTTTATTTCTTGTTTTTTCACTGTGAAAAATTCATGTTACTGCACCTTTCATTTCTTCTTCTCCTTCACAGTATTGTCCGTGGTCATTGTTATTCCCCCAGATGTGCTAAAGCCAGACTTTTCACCGGCCTCCATTACTTACACTAAACATGACTCACAGTTGGATCAAATGCAAAAGCATCGTGGGATAAATGCCAGCAACTGATGCCTCTTTGGCTTCTGCTTCTCTAATGCACTTCCCCCCATCTCCCTCTCAGTGTACTCTCTGTCTCTCTCTCTTTTTATCATTGTCTTTAGGCCTCTCGTCCCGCCTTCCCTCCTCTTTTTCTATCTGGCTTGTCCTCTGATGAATCGAGCCAACCCCCCCCCCCTCGCTCTTTCTCCCTGATTTCACCCATCACCCGGGGCAGTGATGGCATGTTCCTGCGCCCTTACTCTTCTTTCTTGTTTCACTCAGTCTCTCACAGTATCAGAAACAGCGATTCAGTGATTCAAATTCAAATTACAATTTTTGCCTCTTTATCTTACAACAGACAAAACGACACATTCACACACAGGTAGATAAAATACATTATAAAAATACAAAAACATTAAAAATATGTGAAGTGCTTGAGCGTCAGGGTTTAAGTGTGGAACAGCCTCAGGATCTGGGCCGTTCCTGGGCCGAGATGTCCTGCACTTCAGACTTCACATTGTTTAGATGTTTCATATTTTAATAAACAATCAACTTACTCAGACATCAGACGCACATCAAACAACCCAAACAAACTGTGTCGCCATACGCCGCCGCCACCATACGCTTTTCTTGTGTGTGTGTGTGTATTTGTTTCATCTTGTGTTTGAAGGAAGTACCGTCTTGAAAGGGCCGGTTCATATCACAAACAAAATAATTGTTATTATTAAACATGAGGATATGGAGAACTATTCATAAACAGTCTGTTCTAAAATACACCAGAAGTGTATTTATGCTAACCAGCTATTTCCAATAGCGACTTCCAGTCTGCCTGAAGACGTAGCTGCTCAGAGGACGTATTATAACCTCTTGTATTATTAAGACAACGGTATCTGAAACACCATCTGCTCCTGGCAAGAAACCTTGATCGGCAGTTGGTAAAATAGCCCCTTTAATTATTGATTTTCATGAAAGAGCGACAAGACTGGGAGGAAATGAACATATTAGATCAGATCAATCACGTATTGACATGTTAATGCTTATACAAAAAAACTCTGGTTGAGTACAGACGCACAAATCCAACAACAGCCAAGGTTCATTTTTGGATCTGTTACCAAGTTATTCATGTAATCAATATTAATTAGCAGTCAACAGCTGCTATGACCATCTAAATGTTTTGTACACTGATCTTGGTTAAGAAAACAGGATGACAGATTCCTCACTTTATCGAATCTCACAACAGAGTCGATTGTTGGTGCAACTAAATCGCTGCAGTGCGGAGCCGGCTGTCAGTGAGGAGGGCGGCGCTGTAACACGAGCAGGCTGATGTGGACCAAACACAGCAGAGTGCAGTAAAGAAAGGATCACAGTTTACTTCAGCTGATAACTCGTCCATCGGCCCCAATACCAACATCAGCTCTTTTGTTTAGACCTCGGTTATTTCAAGTCATGTTTTGAGTAGGAGTTTGTCCAAATGTCAGTGATCTGAAGAGCTTCGGTGCTTCCTCTTGTTTTTCCTCTGTCGTCCATTACACCCAGACCCATCTTGTATGGGGGGGGGGGGGTCCTGTCGACCCACTTCCTCAGGCAGAAAACAGTTCACAATAACTATTAGAGCTGCCAACAAGTCATTTCTGATACTGCAGCAGTTAAGATCTAATTTGCACACACACTAATTAAAAGCAGAATTGTTATATTAGGATAAAGACACACTCAAATACTTAAGGAGGTACATTAAAGAGCTGCTGTCTAATACGAACAGCAGGAAATCGTTCTTTTTATTCAAAAATATGAACTTTCAAACTTTCAAAATGACAAAATATATACAGTATTTAATCTATAATGATCATATTTTAGGATTACATTCAAAACTATGCACTCAAAATACTTGAAACTCAGGATTTATTGGGTGTTTGGCTCATTTTATCAGTTGAATTTACTTCAGAGACTCTGATGAACTTATCTGGACAGCGGCCTGAGGATGTGTGTTTCCTCTGCAGATCCCCGGGGCGGCGATGGACAGAGTTAGCCTGCTGTGGCGTCTGAGGCGTCGGGCTCGCCGCGGAGCGGTCTGCATGGCCTTCTTCTGCATCTGCATGGCTCTGCTCTACGCCCTGTGTGCCGAAAACAGCGTGCCCGTCACCGACGCAATCTTTGGGGTGCGGGCGCGAACCCGGGCTCAGCCTCGTGCACACTCTGTCATTAAGGTCTGTCACCTGTCATGTTGGCTGGGTTAACCGCCGGGTTACCCGCTAAATATCACAACAGTTATGAGGGATTCCCCAAAATGCTTTTACCTCTCGTCCTAAAAGTGAAACCAAAAATGTGTGCGGACTTGTCACTGTAATCCATCCCTTCCACAGGTGCTGCGAGGAGGAGCCAAGCCCATGTACATCGACCCTCAGAAGCTCCCAGGTGTCATCCCAGGTGACCCTCACCGTCCAATCCCTGTCCTCTCCTCTCCGAACCACACCCACGAAGGCGGGGACCTGCCATCGAAGCGGAAGTCGAGAGAGCGGGAGCCATCCGGGTTTCTCGCTCATCTGCTGCCGCGCCCCTTCACGCGTGCACTGGAGACCCTGTTCGGAGGCCGACGGAGGGGGGAGCTGAGCGGCAAAGGCGGGGACGCGGAGTTCTTCGGACCCAACGGTCCTCTGGGAGAGGTGTGGGACGATGAGATGTCCAGTAGCATGCTGGGAAGCAGACTGAGGAGGGTTGTGCAGAACTATCAGGTGAGAGTAAATGTATTGTCTTCAGATTTCTGATATTGCATCAAAGTACCAATAACATGGATATTAACGCAAGAAAGTAGCGGGAGTCTATATTACCCACAATGCAACTCGACCAGGGACAGATTGGGCTCAGGTTTGTTATGTTTGTCAGTAGCAGCTAACATAGCCTGGGCCTCTGTGTCTTTCTAACTGTCTTCAGTCTTCAGATCAAACCAGCGCTGCCTAAAATCTGTGATGTTTCCTTTCAACTGTCGGGATTTTAATATTTGAGTAAATTCAAACATTATTTTTAATCAATTGTTTTGTTTTTTGTCCATAATCCACGTCTGTATCTGATTTCCTTCCAGGCGATGAATAAATATGGAGTTGAGGTTTCCGGCCCCGGTGGTGTGTCCAGCAGACCGAAACTGAGCGGCCCTGAGCTTCTCTGCCAACTGAAGGACAAGGTAGAGGTCACGACGTTGACCCCTGACCTCCAGCCCTTCTCGTCATTGCCCTGGGCCACACAGCTGCCACCGAAGTCGCTGACTGCTGACCTCGGGCCATACAAGAGCTGCGCCGTGGTGTCGTCGGCGGGGTCGCTCCGCTACTCCGGACTTGGCAAAGAGATAGGTGAGATATTTTTAAACGGACGTTTAAACAAAATAAAACACATTGAAATAAATGAATATAAACTTGAACCTGCTGCACTGAGCTTTCAGAAACCTGTTTTAAATGTCAGACAGAGACGGCTGCTGCTCACCAATGTCACCATAAATTAGTAATTTCCCCAAAAAAATTTAAAAACATATATATAAATGTATACTGTATATATATATATATTTTTTTTTTGTGAGATAGTTAAAGCTGGACTGTGGAGTCGATCCACTGCTGCTGTTTGCTCTGTTGCTCGGGAGCCACAGGGATTTTGGTTTGTTACCTCTTGGTTGCCAAGATGTCCAAAATTAAAAAATGAACACCTGCAGCTCAGTTTGTCACAGCTGACCTTTTCCATTCAATGAGTCCTAATTTCACGCTGTGTCTCTGCTGCTGCTGCACCCAGTCTTCTGTGACTCTTTATTCTTAAGAAGGATATTTAAATCTTTGAGGAAACATCTGGGCCTTTTCATTTTCACATGTACTGTGTGTTTGTTTTTTTGACGTGTTAATTAGAGCTCAGGCTTCACTTCCTCTAAAAGTGTTTATGTGCTTATGTGAAATTACAGACTCTCATGACGCTGTGCTGCGCTTCAACGCTGCGCCCACCACTGGCTACGAGAAGGACGTCGGCTCCAAAACAACCATTCGCCTCATCAACTCACAGGTGAACACTAAATGAAGCCACAGCAGCTGTGAGTGAGTGAGTGAGTGAGTGAGTGAGTGAGTGAGTGAGTGAGTGAGTGAGTGAGTGAGTGAGTCATTAAAACTCGAACCCTCACTGACATTTGCATCAAATGTTCATATGGAGAAAAAACAAAAACAAATAAAGATACTGGAGCTGCGTCTCTGATGAACAGGTTCTCATTAAGTAAAAGTTAAAAATAATCATATTATTAAAGAGTTTCAAACACATGTACACACAGTGACCTCAGACCGTATTCAGACCCCTTCGCTTTTTTCTGTGGTTCTTGACTGTGAACAGCTTCTTCCTGTTTGCTTTAATTATGTTTGACATGAGTCTAGACCATGGCTGGAGTCCAGGGCTGCGGTCGGAAAGTCTTTCTTTCTCATGAAGCTTCAAACCGAGTGAAATGTCCCTGAAGTATCTGAGCAGCAGCCATGTTGAAAAGAGCTGGTCCACTTCTCTAAATGATGAGGAAATGAGCTTCAATTCCTTACTGCAACAACATTTAAAACGATGCAAGATTGTACTTTCACCTTCATCATTTTGAAGCATATCATCATCATCATAACAGTTTATACCTGGAACCACCTAGATTCCTGTCTGATCTGACGGAGCCTGTGAGGAAGAATAAGATAAAGTGACCAAATCCAAAGACTGGAGCCTGTAACTGAAGAAAGAGCTGAACTAAGGGTCTGAAGACTTTTGTAAATGAGATGTGATTCTTGATAAATTTGCAAAAATTTCTAAAAATAGTTTTTAACTTGGTCATCATGGATTATTGAGTGTAGATTGACAAACAGGTGATTCTGTCCATTTCAAATTAAATCTACACAGTAAAGTGTGTAAAAAAGTGCTGTGGAACAGGAACTATTAATCATCATGTCAGTTAAAGAAACAGTTTAACCTTTTGTCTGTTGGGTGCTTTCCAAAAGATAAAGTGATAAAAGCAAAACTACTTTGTGGAATGTGTGTTAAAGCGGAGGGTTAGCGTCGCATAGAAACTGGCATCAGCTCTGTCTGTCCTTCATAGATACACACCAGTCAGTTTAATCCACACACAAACAGAAATGTACCACAGCCTGTGGTTTTAGGGTGGATCATGTGCTGGTAACAGTTTTCAGGTGGAAACATTTCCAAAAAAACTTCAGGACCAAATTGTCTGTAAAACAAAACCTTTAACTGATGCATTGATAGACTAATCAGTAGATGAATCAATATGAAAGAATAAACATTAACCACAGTCCTGTAAACACGAGGACATGAACACATTCTTTATATGTGATACTATATTTGTGCGGTGGGTATTTTAATCCGCAACTATGAACTCATGCTGACAGTCCTGGGAGGGCGCAGCTGACCTGTTGCTATGGTAACCACTGGGTGTTAACTATTTTTGTCCTGGTGTGCACGTGATAAAAAAGAATGAAGCGCTCATGTGTACGTGTATAACTCTAACTGTGATAAAAGAGTGGTGCACAGAGCAGGAATGAAGGGCTCCTGTAATCTGTGGGTGGCAGTGAGGTCGAGAGACGCAGCGAGGCTGAAGAGCTTGATCTCAGATGGGCCGTGGGAGTTTGACAGGAGAGCGTAGCAGCAGTGGAGATGAGCTGTTTGTGGGTGTTTGTGTTGCTTGTGGGTGCTGTTTTCACATGTAAAGTTTTACAGTGAAAACTCACTACAACAGAAAAATTTGGCAGCAGGACTTGAACACTTCTTGAATCATCTCCAATATTCAAACCAGTCAGTTGTGGATTTATGTTCATATTGTTTCGTCTTTTACCTGACAGGTGTTTTGTCACTTTGATCCCACTGAACACAGCAGGGGTTTGAGGAAACTGTCTGTTCCGTTTGTGCTGGCCAACGTTGGGCCAAGTGTGGCAATCCAGATATGACTGCGTGTGCAACAGCCACTCCCACGACTACAGCAACTGCCACATGAGATTATAACATCTGAACACTGTCACAGTTTAAGATTGTGTTCAGCTGAGTCAGAGGTCAAAAGTCAAATGTTTGTCAAATTATCTTTTCTCAGATTTTTTTATTCTTTTTTTTTTACTGTGCCTCTCGATGGATCATATAGAAACTGTAAATATAATGAAACTGGTTTTCAAGTGAATGTTTATGTGTCTACAGGTGATGGCATCTGATGACCATCGTTTCCTGTCCAGTTCTCTGTACAGCTCAGGTGTTTTGGTGGCCTGGGACCCCGCCCCCTTTTCAGCTGATCTCACTCAGGTGATGTTCACATACTGCACACACAGGAAACAAGCTACAGGGTCACGATGGGTTGTTTTATAACGATTAATTAACGTCGTTGATGAACGCTTCACCAGCGCTACAAACTAACCACAGCAGCACTGACTGACCGACTGAGTGATCATATTTCCACCACTTCTCAGCCGAGTGCTGAACCTCGGTCTACCGAGCCGCTCTGGTGTCCCGGCTGTTCGGGAACTGCAGGGAAGAGGAAGAGTGCTTCCAATACACTGAGCCTCACCTCCAAGCAGAGAGAGCAGGAGAGAGGGAGGGAGAGAGAGAAGTCATCGCTAACGAGGCTTCATACTAACGAGTATGATCAACTCTACATATCAAACAGAGCGAGTTAGACATGAAGACCTGCCTCTAATAAAAGTCTGTGACGTTCTGGAGTTGAAGTAAATAAAGACGAAACTAGTCGGTCCCTCCAGAAAGTCTTGATGTTGTGATCCCAATAATTAACGCAAATTCAACCAAACCCTTTGAATTCTGTGCTGGACATTTAATGTGTATTGATTGATTTCCAAACGACCCCACCCCCACCCCCCCCACCCCCCACCCCACAGTGGTACAACAGGACAGACTACCCCATCTTCATCCAGTACCAGAGATACCGGAGGCTTCACCCTCTGCAGCCCTTCTACATCCTGCATCCTCGCTTCGAGTGGCAGGTCTGGCAAAGAATACAAGACAACATGGCCGAACCCATCCAGAGGAACCCGCCGTCGTCTGGCTTCCTCGGTACGTGAAACATGGGCTCCATCACCACTTCCTGTTTACTCTGATAGCTCATGATGTATCCGGTGCACACCAGAGGAAAGTCTTGTGGTTAAAGCTGCATCTGTTACGAGTTAAACTTATTATTTTGTTTTTTATTTATTATCACAGCTGCATGAGAGGATTCATCCAATAAACAAATCACAAATCTGGGAAAGATTCAAGAACAACAAAACTGCAGTTGCATCTGGTGCATTTATATTTAAGACTCACTGATATTTACAAAGAATAAAAGAGATGGAAACTTAAAATGTGAGCAGAATCTAAGCAATACAAGTTCAAAGTGACAGACATGTGAGACACGTGTGGTTGGTGTAGAAATATTATCAGTTTATTTGTGTGTGTGTGAATTGATCTGAAGCACCTGCCTGATGGGAGGAGCTTGCACAAATATATCTTCTAATGGATCAACGCTTCAAATAAGACACAGAAGAAGAGGAAAATATGGAGCTTTAAAGAATGTATACTCAGTCACTTAGAATGAAGTCATTAATTTAACCTCAGTTTACTAAAGTCAGTGACTCCTGTGACATCACACCTCTTCTCCTTTGTGTCCTTCCCAGGCACCGTCCTCATGATGTCTCTGTGCGAGGTGGTGCACGTTTACGAGTTCCTGCCGTCGCGGAGGAAGACGGAGCTCTGCCATTACTACCAGCGTTTTTACGACGCCGCCTGCACGCTCGGCGCCTACCACCCGCTCCTGTATGAGAAGAACCTGGTCAAACGCATGAACCAGGGCTCCGACCGAGACATCTTCACCCACGGACGCATCACACTGCCTGGGTTCAGCAAGGTGAACTGCACCCAGGCTGCCGGAGGTTCACCGGGCCACTGACTGAGAGGAGCGGTGAAGCTCTCTCACACACACACACACACACAAACACACACACACACACACACACACACACACACACGATGCAAAGCAGAACCCTGCATGAAGAAGACGACGAGGACAGACGCATGAAAACATTCTCACTGCCGAACAAAATGAACGCTGTGCCACTCACTATAAATATTACATGTTGTTACCACACACTGTAAACACTGAACACACACACACACACACACACACACACACACACACACTGGAGTCCAATCAACTGATAGATGTGCCTGCTGTTCACACATTCATATTCCACTGATCATTTTCATCCATGAAGCCTAAACTAAGACGAAGACAGAGTCTGAACCAGTGAGATGAGCAATCCTGCCCTCACACCTTCACCTCCATGTTTGACTTTTACTTTGAAAAGCTGCTCTTCCTTTGTTGGATGTTTGGACGACAGCAGCTTCACATTGAGCTCTGTTGGTCAGGCAGGAGGTGAAGTTTGGGTTTTTCACTGCCGATGCTGCTTCCTCCCTGTGAACATGTGATCACGCTAAGGACCAATCAGATTTAGTTCTGTTGCTCGGCTCAGCTTTAGTTCGTAAAGACTCACACCGTGTGAAAAACACAGAATCTGCAGCTTTTCTTTGGCCCTTGATTGTGGGGGATTCTTTACTTCCCTGTTTTCAGGGCCTGAAAATCACCTCTTCCTGTGTCGTGTCCACCAGGGTTTAAACTGTGCTGTGTGAGGAGAGAGAGTCCAGTGAGGTTTGAGGTCGGTTGGTAGAAAATCTGTTGAATTTTCCAAATGTCGTTTTTTTTTTTTTTTTTTTTTTTTTTTGATGCCGTACGACAAAATAAATTCAGTTCACCTTCATTATACTGATGAACTTTCAGATCTCAAACTAAATCCAACTTTCTAAAAGACCAGAAACCCTGAAAGAGAAGATTGAACATTTTATTTTTATTTGATGTATTTATTTATTTATGTGTTTGTTTATTTATTTATTGGTAATTTGGGTGAAGTCGCCCTTTACTCCATGAAACAAAGTCAAAAGGACACAAACACAACAACACAGATACACAGACACACTGTTTCCTGGTAACTACAGTAACTACACTGACAGAGGCAGAGTAGTAGTATCTACTATCTGTTGGCTTCTTCTTTATTTACTTAAGTAATTAGTTTTGAACTGAAAATTCAAATGTAGCAACAGGTTTGATTTTTAGGTTTAAGGTGAGACGCTGAGTTAAACCCCTGGTGTCCATGTCACAGTGAGAGCAGACACAGAATAAACATCCTGAAAATGGAAGTGAACTCAAACTATTATAGAAGATATAATAGTGAAACTATGGAAATGTGCTTTTAAACCAGGTGGATACAAGAGTCACAGTCACAGAACTAAACGACAGGTTCTGCTTCTGTTTACTGTTCAGTTTAATAGACCTGGTGTGATGATCGATAAATCTGAGGCAGGAACAACTACAGTGTTTTCATTTTAACCATCACTTTAAGCCTCACAGTGTGAATGAGTCATTTTCTGCCAAATATGTTTAACAGTAAGAAAAACTGCTGGTAGCGCTCGCTAGCTAAATGCTAACATACAAAACATAAAATATTCATATGTTTTATGAAGTTACAGGTTATGTGTTGTAAAGTTCCTGTAGTGGAAAGTGATGATGATGATGATGATGATGATGATGATGATGATGATGATGATGATGGTCTGGAAATTCCCACCTGTGTCTGTGAAGCTGAAATCCATGGTCCATCATCTCACCTGACTGGAACACACAACAGGAGGACTTCACTAAAATGATGGACTGCTCCTTTAAGAAACGTGCGGAGGGCAGGTGTAAAGACCACACACACACACGCACACACACACACACACACACACACACACACCTGTTCATTGAAGAAAATACTGCCTGCAGACGACTCGACTCCCGACCTCTCACCTTCTGTCACCAGTGATCCATCAGACTGTCCCTTCAACAGACTCAAACACATTTTGTACCCGCTCTGTCGACCCTGTAACGACCTGCTCCCGCTGCTCTTTTTATAACCCTAGCACAGTGTGTATATATTATCACAGTGATGCCCCGGAGGACGCTCTGTAGTGTGATTCTGTGACTCGGCGCGAAGCAGATCAGAGTTTTAATTCTACAAACGTTCATGAGACGCAGATCTGTTCAGAAAAAATGGACGACATGTTTGTAGCTTTTTTATTTGTTTTTTCAGATACAACAGAGACCAGTTTTTTTTTTCTTTGTGAGAAACAAGATAACGTGAAATATTTCTTGTTAAAACTGAATCATTTGGTTTCCAGTAATGTGAAAAATATCTTCTTACATCACAAAACAGATCTTGCAAAAGTTTCTCAATATGAGTCGTTAGCATAAATGAAATTCTCGTTATCTCGAGATAACAAGCTTTGTTATCTTGAGATAAATAAAAATATTTGTGAGTGTGACCTTCCTCGGCTTCTGTAGCTTCCATCATTTCACTGGCTGATTTAAACTTAAGTCATTCTCTCTGGCAGAGCAGTTTTATTCTTACAGCTGGAGTCAGTGGAGGAGAGAAGCTAATATCTTAAAGTTAAAATGTCTAAATGAAAGAGAGAAGGAAATGATCACAGCTCCCACAAGGATTCCTTCTCCTCTGTTTAAATTCTCCAACTGTGACGTGTAATGTTTGAGGAAGTAAAGCTCCTGCCTGTTGTGTTTCCAGTGTTGTCACAGTAGAGAGCGACCTCGGGGCACTCTGACTTTTACTCTGCTGTTACTGACGCATGTGAACCAGCTGTAAAACCTTTTCTCCAAACTAGTGTAGCAACAGGAGAAAAAACAATCTAACTACATCTCTGATTAACACAGAGATTAACCGCATGGCTCGAACGCATCGTTTTTTGTTTTTTTTCTCACGGAAGGCGACTGCTGATGTGAAACATGCTTATTGTTATCGGTGTCATCACATGTGAGCCAGGTCAGGTGCATGCAAACAGAGACAATGAGCCTGGATTAGACAGAGTGGATGGATTAAACTGGATTATCAAATCCCAGGCAGAGTCCCAGACTCATTGCTCGTCAATATGTTTTGGTAATTTGATTAATTGCAGATTTGTTCAGGAAACTGAACTGAGGCAGGTCAGATAAAGCTTGGCAGATGCTGTGTGATGATCTTGTGTGGTGTTTTAATCTCCCTTTCTGCGCAACCACAACAAACAGCTTCTCTTCCTGCAGAAAACAGACAGAAAAATGCAAAACATAAATATATGGATCTGATGATGGTGGGAAGATGCAAACAAGAGCCAAATGTTGATCCAAATGTGCAAATTCGAACCAAATCCAGAACCTTTTCCACTTCTGCCAAATGTTAAAACCTTTTATGGATTCATTTTTTAAACGTCTGGTGTTCCCACTCTTGTAAATTTGTAAACAAATGGATGGAAATCCACTTGGTTTGGTTTCTTTTAAAAGTCAACCAGAGAGGAGGCTCTCTTCTGATTGGCTGACTGTTTTCTGAGTGATCCAATAAGAATAAAGCAGATTTTAGGTAAAAACACTCAGAGAAACCAAATCCTGCAAGGTTTGGATGGTGGGTCCAGGTGGGCGGGGCTTGGTGACTGCTTTGTTGTGACATCACAAAGTTCCAGAAGTCCTGACGGCTGGTTTTAAGGCTCAGTTTCTGAATACAGGCTGTGTGCATTTCTCTGTGGACTGAGGCTTTGATACTTTCACAGTATTAATATAGAAGCTAGACCTGATCTATAATCACACTACACATGGACACAGACCTTTACACTGGAGGAGCTTTAAATTGCACAGTGTCCACCCGGCTTCATGTAGCTGCCTTGACTTGTCGTGAACGCCTGTGTTTATTATTTTACTTTATATTGTGCTGCACATTCCTAAACAAAGATGTGTTTAATCAGATTACCACAAACTACCTGACACAGAAAACCTCCTGGGAACTAGAGGTGTTAATCCAGCACTGGCTGTACTGGTTGGTTTCTGAACGAATCAAGAGCTCGAGCGCAAGTCTCCAAGAAACCCCGCCGCTCTGCTGTTGTTTTTCTACTCATTTCAGCCTCATGTTTTTTTACCAGAACTTGTATTGTTTATTCAGGAGGTGAAACACTTGAATAATTGATGTCATTGCGTTTCAGAGGAGAACATTTTCTCCCTATGCAGTTGCACTCTCGTCCCAACTCCTGCTCATTTAATTTCAGCCGTCACTGACAGTTTATGTGAAAGCTGTTGACATTTTTATTTCAGCTTACAGATGCACTTTGCCTTTGCTTTGCCTTTCCCCTCTTGGTTTCTGAGAAGGTTGGTTGCTAAGCTGTTTTATTGTGGTTTCATGCAGTTAATGTATTTCTGTGGCACTTAACACTTGTCAGTTGATATGAGAACAAAAATATCCTAGAAACATACAACTGATCGTAGTGAGCATTTCATATCGATGGCAGGACATGAACAACCACCTGTTAAAGCTCGAGTTCAGTTTTCCTGAAGTGTAAATGCCAAATATACAGTTTGCTTGTTCCTAAGTGAGTCCACATTTTTAACTTGTGTTATTTCTATTAAATGTTATTTGGGCTACATGATGTAAAACCTGTGTAATAATTTCATACAGTGGTTCCCAACCTGGGGGGTTCAGGATCCTCAATAGGGTGTAATTTCCGGCATCTGACATCAGCTGCTCTTTTCTTCGTAGTGGAGGAAACCTGCAGAAATGACTCAGAGCTGAAAAAGTCCACAACCCTCTACAACTCTAAATAATGTAAATAATAAATAGATAATTTACATATACGTCACCTGCCACTGATCATCAATCAGAGACAATGCAGTAAAAGGCGGATTTTTTTATTACACTTAAAAAGATTAAGTTACCTTTAGTTGCCATTTTTAAGTTAGAACTACTTCATAAAATGAAGTAAACACAATGCTGCATGTATCAAGCTGTTAATGTTCCAATCAGCATCTGGTTCTGTTGGATCATATTATTATTATTATTATTATTATTATTATTATTATTATTATTGT